TGCCTTTTTATTTCTTCCTGCGGCATGCACAGTTAGAAACCACCAATTTTTTAAACGCCATAGCAATCTGGAATGAGTTACCTAGAAGTACCAAGACTCAGCCAAGTCATCCCTTGTTCAAGGGAGATAGCGCAAGTTTTCTACATTCAGTACAACTTTCACGAATTTTAGGTGCTGAATCGGCGGAATCACTCTTCTACAACCATGGCGTTCGCCAACTCCAAATCCCGTGCCAGGCCTTATGCTAAGGGCAGTGTTGCTGAATATGCAGCCTGCAATCGGATAATTTTTCAACCGACGGCGAGCAACGGCTTACCGACGCATTTTTCTGGTGTAGAATACTCGATCCATAACATTCAAGGGAGACTGAGAACACTGTATTCATGTGTCAACACTTCGCTGTCCCAAACTACAGTCACTCAACGACCTCCAATTTTTCTACTGAAAAGCCTAGAAGGAAAGATTATGAGTCTTTTTTCACTGTAAGCTCGATCTATTACTCTACATATCCTTTAACCCTGCCTGTAATCTGACAATAAATAAATAAAGAAGGAGAGAGAACGCCCACTAATAGAATCATACCAGTTAATCTCGCAAGTATTAATCGCTAACTAACGGAGAAAATAGTCAAAACGGAAATAAGGAGACATATTGGGGAGAAAAACTTGCTAAGTGCGCAGCAACCTGGACCAAGAAGTGGTCGACGTTGTCTCACTAACCCGCTGACGTCCATGGAAAGCTGGACGAATTCATTGAAAATGGGTCCATTGGTCGCTGCAATCTACTTCAGCAAGACATTTGACAGTCTTCCACACAGACGGCCTATCAAACCTGCAACAAATGGGCATTAGTTTGTTCGTATTGGGGAGGCCAAATCGGAGTGCAAAACCATTTCCGGTGGGAATTCGCAAGGGAGCGTTTTTGGTCACACTTTATTTCTGACATATGTGAACGACTACCTCGATTGCCTAACCGGTGAGTAAATACTGTTTGCTGACGATCTAAATGTATGGAATTCAATCGAAAATTTGAAGAATGCGTAGAACTTGGACTGCTTGCAAAAGTGGTGTGATGAATGTTTACTACAGTGACTGCAAAAAAAGGGGCTTGGATTAAGTTTTTTCCTGCCTTCTGGGGTTTTGACGGCACCGAAGATGTGCTTTACAAATAAACCTAATTATTATACCTTAATTTCAAAAAATATGCCAAGTCATTCGTTTACGGCATATTTACAGATATGTGATATGATTTGAGCATGGGTACTTTATCGCAGGTGACCAACTTGAGGAAGCAAACAAACTAAGTACTCGAGCATATGTATGACACCCACTCTTAAACTATCGACTCAATGTGCCAAAACTGCAAAGAGGTCTATGGCCATCCTAGGAGTGATCGGAAGATCATCTCTCTCTGTGTTGACGAGGAGTTTTTTTAGCCACGTATTTAGAACATTGGTCTGTCCAACGTCAGGCATGGTGCCCCTGTATGAAGCAGTGCCGGGAAAGGTTCAACGAAAGGTGACCAAAGTAGTCAGCGGCTTGGATGGCCTACCATATGAGGGTCGACTAGAAAGACTCGAAGATGTTCCTCTCTCTTATAGGCTATACAGGGGCGATATGATCGTGGCATTCAATTTCGTCTGATGAGTAGACTGTGCTCTTCGGATGACTGATTTTTGAATTAAAAAAACGACACGTCCGAAGTCATCAATACAAACAGAAGAAACACCATGCCACTGGGTCATTGAAAACTGGAACAAACTACCTTCTTCAGCCGTTCTTGCTGAAAGCGTTGAGACATTTAGAATAAAAATTGATAAAACTTCACTCAATGGTCATATATTTGGAAGGCATCAACGATTGATATAACATATAAATATTGCTCTGAAACATGTGTATCATTCGCCAGAACCCAGCTGCAAGAAGGGTTTTCAAAATCCCTGCCTGTATCCCTCGTTAACATATAAGACATCTGCCTAATACAGGAGTAAAATAATATAAAGGGTTTAATGTTGTTCAAACTATTAGGAGGATTCGGTAGATTTGAATAATTTAGTTCTGCGGTTTCGACTCTCACCAAGGCTGCGAAGTTTTCACAATTGGGTCATCTGAGCCTGTAGTGGTCTCTGCCATCCGAGGTCTTCCATTGCTTTGTCCGGCGTCATTGTTCGAGGCCAGCTGCCTCAAAGTCATCTAATACCTCAGTCAGCGCTTGCAGTTGCGCTGACCTGCAGAGACTTGACCCACTTCTACTCGGACACACACGTGCGTCTAGGTCCTCGCGGCTGCCAAGGCACCACTCAAACATGTCCATTATTCCCCACCACTCGGCCGCCAGACGTAACTTAGGACCACGGCGCTCCAGCGGAATGACGTGTGCTCCGAAGTCCGAATTCTTCCTGCCTATTCTTCGTTCGTTTGTGTACACAATAAACTATACCTTCTATTCTGGCCTCCACCGACTTCATCTCCACTAAGTAACCATTGTCTAAAGATCGCAGATGCTATGGTTTAAATTACTTTACCCTCTGCGATAAGCCCTTTAAATCTGCCGAAACCTCCTAATAAGAAAGTTAGCCTAATAGTCATTATGATGAATTCTAGACGAATGCTTAGGAAATCCTGCTTGGGCAGTCGGCTTACTGTATTTGTAACGGCAGATTCTGTACGAGCAGTAACATGGGCGGGTAGTATCAACCAAAGAGTGGTTAAATTCACGGCTCATGGTGAGCCTTGTAGTTCAGTGGGGGAGCGGTGGCTGCATAAAAAGCCTTTCCTGTTGTATGTCTTTGATTTCCACCGAGGCCACGAGTTTTGCACACTTGCGTCAAATGAGGTATCGCATAACAAATAACTCCTTGATTAGGCGTCCAAAAATATTAGGGCATGTGCTGTCAAGGCCTCAACCGGAAGAATTCAGAAGAATTCAGAATTAAGAGAACCGATTTGTATAGGCATTTCTTCGTAAGATTCCACTTAGAAAACCTTTAAAGGTAAATCACCCTCAAAGAAAAATCACACTGACAACTTTTCCGCCATTCATGCCTCGGTATATTATACAGGGTGTCCCAAAAATGCATGCACGTTTTAAATAATTGTAAACTTGATGTTTATGATAATTTTATTATTTAAAGAGTGTAAAAATATTAACCTCGTTTTTAAATTTTATTGTTTTTCACTGCATTTTGACTATTGCAACAGTAGCTGAATTGAGAGAAGCCATTGAATGTGAATGCACCCGAATAACAAGGGAATTGTTTCATGGTGCGTGCAAGGCTCTGTCTTAGAGCCAATGCTCTTCCTAATCTATATTAACGACTGTGTCGACGACCTTTGTTGCAGCGCCATCATGCTTGCTGACGAAGTCAAACTTTGGAGAGCTTTCAGGACTGACGCCAATAGGCAAGCACGCCAAGGGAGTCTCAGTCAACTTAACAACTGGTCTACTTGTTGGCTTTTAAACTTCAATGTTAGTTTGTGTGTGGTTTTAAGGCTCCGTGCTAGAAGGACCAATGATGAGGATGATTCCTTTCAACACTTCCTCGGTGGGGAACCCCTTTCAAATGTTGGCGAACAGAAAGACCTCGGCGTTCTAATAAACCCCTCACATAAACCATCTTCACAGTGTCTAAAGGCAGCTAAACCCGCGGCGCAGGTGCTGTTGGCGATTAGACGGGGATTCGTCCTCATTGACAAAGAGTTCTTCAGGAAAACGTACAGAGCGTTTGTTCGACCCACTTAGAGCACGCCGTCCAGGCCTGGCGTCCGTGTTTCAAGAAGGATTATATGCAGCTGGAACAAATGCAGGCGAAGGCTACGAAAATGGTCAAGAATCTCAGTCATCTGCCTTATGAAGCCAGATTTACTGAACTTA